ATTTTCATACTATTAGAAAACATGCTTGTTTGCTCTATATTTGTAAAGAAACAACTGCAAGGACGAAATATCACGACAAATTCTAGTACCTTGTTGGGAGGAAACTTCGTCCAACCTTATGTTTTAGGGCCTTGAATTAAATCAACACCGCTGCAAAGTCAATTTTTATCTCGAACGCAAGATCGAACGTCTGTCCCCTTGGCCTATCTCGTTAATCAAAATGCAATGTTCTTTGTCAAGTGAAATACATTTGCATAAAAACGTGTCATCATATTTTCATTCTGGCAAAATTATCCCTTTCTAATTTCATTATGTTTTCAAACAACAGAATGGCAATGGCCTTGGTCTCAGACAAGACAAAATGATCGTAACGTTTTCTTTCAACGTTTCAAAGCAAGATAAATGTGGGTTAGGTGACTGAAATAAGGCGATGAAGAAGGAGCACAACCAACGAATATCGCCAGAATAACGAACTTACTTCCTTGGATACCAGAAAGAAAAATGTTGAAGGCGCGGAGAAACACCGACGGTGTTGGCACAGTTCAACTCCGTCATGCTTTCAGCGCAATATAATACGAAAAATGCATACGTGGGTGTTATTGTTGTTATTATCCTGCATTTGTGTATCGTAATATAAGCCCTAAGGCGTTGGTGATTGCCAGCGGTCAAAAAGTCATGTCAGATGATAAAGATCACCAGCAGCTTTCGACAATACCTAATAGCTGCTAGAGCTAAATTGTTTCGACGGCGCTGTAGTTCAATCGGTTGACAAGGTTTGGTCAGATTTGTCCAAACATGTTGAGCCCGGGAGTTTTTTTAAATTTATGACCTTCAGTGGCCTTCACTATTGACGTGAGCAAAATGCGGTATATACTATATACGTATACTGCTGAAAGTAATTGTTGAGAGCTATCGATTCTTGCCCGCGTCTTCGCATCTTTCTTACTTTTCGGGATGATCGCGTGAGGCTGATAGGAAAACTATAAGATGAAGCAAATCTACCTGGGGACCCCCAAGCGGGCGTGGGCTAAGACAATTTTGTTATTCGTCGGTGTAAAAGTTATCGCAACGTAAATAAAGCAAAACATAAATTAAGCATTTGAAAAAGAAAAAATATGGCAGAACATATAACACCATTAAGTTTCTTTAACCCAATGAAAAGGAAGTGCAAGCTTTAAACTATTCTTTAAATGTTCTTAGCAAGAGCGCTTCGCACAATGCAAGTACCTATGAACAGCAAAACGTCCTTGTGTATAGGTCGGTAGTCAGTACCAATAAACCGTGGTAACGATAATACAAGCGAGCTGCGATACTCTAGCTAAATGTTTCTTTTCCGATTTTATCTGCGCAGCGAAGGCGAACTCCAACACGAGCAACAAACTCCTGCAATGAGTGGTGGGCCATGCGGTCAAGATTTGAAAAAAAATATACCCTAAAAACGTGCTGGAGGGGCAAAACATCTTTGAGTGAAGGTAGAAGATACGAAAAACAGACTATAGTTGGTCTTGAAATAAACATACAAACACTGGGAAAACACGTGAATAATAACAGGATGCACACTTACTAGAAAAAGCCTGTAAAATGGGTATAAAACACACTGGTAAAATATCTAATACAAAAATATAGGCAGGTAGGTAAAAATACAGTTAATGACATGTAAAAAATTGCATAGATTAGGTGCAAACAGTACCTAAAGCAGAGATAAAGCTTTACAAAAACACGAATAGTAAACTAGACTAAGATATAAAATATCAAAATGATAAATTCTATAAATGAACTTTTTAACGGCAGAAACGGCGAATAATGGGAAGCCACCTGTCTTGCAGCAGGGCACCAGAGTTGCGGTTCACATTCGCGTCATTGGGTGACACTAGGACGGCTTCCCGCCGTCCCACGGTACGAATGTAGGCCGATTCGAGAAGGAGTCTCATCTGGTGGTGGCAGGCACGGTTCAGGATTTTGGCGTCGTCGAAGGCCGGCGTGCAGTCCCGGTGCACGTGCTGAACGCTGAAGCGTTGGCTCTGGAGCGGACCGAGCCAGCCCAGCTCTCTCGGTGCTCGCGGACTCTGGTTCCAAGTTCTCGGTCCGTTTCTCCGATGTAGACGACCGGGTCACCTTCTACCCGGCAGGAGCACTCGATGCAGTAGATGACATTGCTCTCCTGCTGCTTGGGTAGACGGTGCTTGGCTTGGCTACAGAGGAGGGTCCCGATGGTCGGCGACGGCTTCGACACGAGCTGAATGCCGATCTTGTTGGCTTCTCGCTTCAGTTGGTAGAAGCAGGGACCAGCGAACGGAACCGAGAGCCGGACGGGTGCAGGCAGCGGGCTGGGGTTCGGTGGCGACGGCAGAGCCCTGGCCTTCAGCTGGAGGTCCTTTTCTGTTCTTCTTAGGATCGGGTTGATGAACGAGAGAGGGTAGCCGTGTCGGTGGAATTTCTTGCGTATAAAATCAAGTTCTTGCAGGCGGTCTTTGACGGAGGAGCAGTAGCGGATGGCACGTAAGCAGTCAGATCTGATGGCTGATCTCAGATAGCGCGTCTCTGTATAGGAGTTCGATTCGATCTTAACATCCGATACGACTCTCGCTGACGAAGAATTGTAATACAATTCGGAAGCTCCGACCCAACGAACTCTTGTGGAGTAAGTCCGATTTCATTTTAATTCACCCATTGTGTTATATTTTTCACGCTAACGTATTGCTCATTTTTGTCAGTTCAACTATGAAATCAGTTCAATGAGCAGCTCAAAGAAAAAACATCAAGTGGGAATTGAAAACAATACGTTTCAGAATACTTATAGTAGTGTGAACTGTGAACTATGGAGCTCATTTTGTTTGGGAAACCGTAAACGGGAGCAGCCTCACGAGGTCAGTAAGGGGCCAATCATCGGTTGTTGCCTGTTCCTCGGACCGATGGTCCCGCCGTTTTCTCGCTATTTAAGAAAAACCACAGGGGGCCAAAATCCCCCCCCCCCCATCAGGGCGCGGGTTAAATATGATAATGTGCCTTGCCTAAGTCAATGTTTGACAGGCACGTACCCAGGATTTCGCCCAGGAGGGGGCCACCTGCTTTCGAAGGGGCCCCCCACAGTGTATAGGGCCCCCCAGGTTCCCCGGGGGCCCCCGGGAGTCATGAAGAACCTTTCGATGGTGGGGGGGGGGGCATAGTGGGTCCGGTCTCTCCTGCAGACGTAGGTGAGAAAACGCCACGTGTGTGGGAAAACGCAATTCAGTTCTTTACAACCTTATGTAGCATTTGGTTGTGATTTCTCGCGTTCAACTTCATCAAAGTCAATTAAAACGGTCTCTGTAACGGTCTAAGCCTTGAGAAAATGTGGAAAATTGGAAAGTAAAAATAGCTTTGCTTGAGGAGTGTGCATGAAACGCACGGCGCACGGCATTTTATGAGCGAGCGCCTCAATTACTGAACATCCTCCAATGCCGGATATGTAGGTATATAATATAATAGTGGGGAATAGATGTCTCGTTATCGGAATTCCACTATCTGGCAACTAGCCCTATGTAAACGCGGCTATTATATGTTTCACTAGGAATCGAGCGCAATTGTACTTTTAGCCAGAAAATAAATGCTTGGGTAATTCTGGGACACTCTGTATTAATTGGAGGAATAGGACTTAGGAGGAAATGCGATTGCAAATCGACCCACATCCCTGTGTTAGCCAATGACGCCTTTGGGGCCAAGGTTGGGGGGTATTCAGTTTAGCCTTTTTGTTTTTCTGTGATATCTCCGGCACCGTGAAAGATATTGGCTCCTTCAGATGAGTGCCTACTCCAGTCACTACTTATATCCAGTAGCCAGTAGCCACTCAGATGATTTGGGATCAATCAGGTGATAAGCGTACTTTCAGACGACCAGAGGCCCCCAGTCGACCAGGGGTTCCCAGGCGACCAGGTCCTCCAGATGACTAGGGGCCCCACTGCCCCAGGCGACCAGGGCCCTCCAGGCGACCTAGGGCCAATGCGATCAGGTCCCCAAAGCGATCAGGGGCCCCCAGGCGACCAGGGGCCCCCAGGCGACCAGGGGCCCTCTAGGTGACCAGCGGCCCTCAGGCGATCAGGGGCCCCCAGGCGACCAGGGGATCCCAGGCTTCCAGGGGCCCAAGGCGACCAGGGTCCCCCAGGCGACTAGGGGCGACCGGGGGCCCCAGGCAACCAGGGGCCCCATGCGACCAGGCCCCCCCGGCTACCAGGGGCCCCCTGGGCGACTAGGTACCCCCAGGCGATCAGGGGCCTCAATATCATGCAACCAGAGGCCCCATGCGACTAGGGCCCCCTAGGCGACTAGGGGCCACAGACTATCAGGGGCCATACGACCGGGCCCCCGGCTATCAGGGCCCCCTAGGCAACTAGGGGCCCCCAGTCGATTAGGGGCCTCATGCGACCAGAGGCCCCCCATGCGACCAGGGCCCCCTAGGCGACTAGGGGCCACAGGCTATCAGGGGCCCCCATGAGACCAGGCCCCCGGCTACCAGAGGCCCCCTAGGCGACCAGGGGCCCAGGAAACTGAGAGCCCTTGGATGACTGCAGGAGCCCCTCGGGTACCCAGGGCACATAAATGAAACTTTAATATCAATTTTTCTTCCGAGTAAAAGACGTTTTATCCAGTGTTTAAAAAAATATCCTGGGGCCTGAGGGGCCCCCTGAGCGCCTTCGGCGCTCAAGGGGGGGCCTTGGCCCCCGTGGCCCCCCCCCTTGGGTACGTCACTGATGTTTGATGACGTGTATTTCGGAAACGTGATGCCATATCTTGACAAAAGATGTCTCCTTTCTTTTCAAATATAGATGAGTAGTTTCACAAAGTTTCGCGAAAATCGGAGGAGGTGAGGTTCAAAATGATAATTTTTTGTCCCATTTGAAGTGGAATGAAGGAACGATTCCACCTATGAAGGAACGATTGTACCTTTTTTATTTTTCTTAATTTATCTGTCACCTGCGGCGGTACGATGACTACAAGCACGATAAGCACGATATTTCGCCTGATTCCCGATCGATGCTTTATTTCGCACTGCGTGTTGGTATACGTTCACATACACCTCAGCCGTATCTTGGCTTGATCGCGGCCTCGCTTCACGCCTGTACACGCGGCGTGACTTCCAATCTGCTAAATATTAGCAATGTGAATTGCTGCACTTCGCTACAAAGGCAGCTTTGATCGGCTAACTGTAAGCTCGAGACAAAAATAACCTACGCGTGCTTCGCAGTCGTTGGTCTCTCACTGTCAGCGCTACTAGCGAATGGAGCGTTCCGGACAGGACAAGCCACCAGCTGACTCAGCTGGGGTATCACCACGGACCGAGAGCTAGACATGATCGGTGTGTTCCACAGGCTATCGTATACAACAGGCGGCCCAGTCGCGGCAGACCGGCGCGGACGCCGCCGCTGGGCAGCACTGCTCCGGTGACGGCAGGCGGCACGCACTGCTCCATACCCGCCGCTGTCCGTCACTGGTCCAGACAGGGCAGCTCGGCCTTCCAGGCCACGTTGGGTGCGCCGCGCGCGCCCAGACCCGTGACGCGGAACGTGCAGCCGGCCTCCGGCTGGACGTCCTGCTGCCAGGCCGAGAGGCCGTGCAGCGCCGAGGTGACGTAGAGCGCGTCGTGGTGCGGCCCGCCCCAGGTGCAGCTGGTCGGGTTGCTGACGGGCAGGTGCAGCTCCTCCACCACCTGACCGCGCTCCGGGTCGATACACACCACCTGACGGTCAGTGTGGACACTGGACAGTCAGTACACACCACCTGACGGTCACCGGCGGACAGTACACACCACCTGACGGTCAGTGTGGACAGGACAGTCAGTACAGGCCACCTGACGGTCAGTGTGGACAGTCAGTACACACCACCTGACGGTCAGTGTGGACAGTCAGTACAGGCCACCTGACGGTCAGTGTGGACAGGACAGTCAGTACAGGCCACCTGACGGTCAGTGTGGACAGTCAGTACACACCACCTGACGGTCAGTGTGGACAGTCAGTACACACCACCTGACGGTCAGTGTGGACAGTCAGTACAGGCCACCTGACGGTCAGTGTGGACAGGACAGTCAGTACAGGCCACCTGACGGTCAGTGTGGACAGTCAGTACACACCACCTGACGGTCAGTGTGGACAGTCAGTACACACCACCTGACGGTCAGTGTGGACAGTCAGTACAGGCCACCTGACGGTCAGTGTGGACACTGGACAGTCAGTACACACCACCTGACGGTCAGTGCGGACAGTCAGTACACACTACACACCACCTGACGGTCAGTGTGGACAGTCAGTACACACCACCTGACGGTCAGTGTGGACAGTCAGTACACACCACCTGACGGTCAGTGTGGACAGTCAGTACACACTACACACCACCTGACGGTCAGTGCGGACAGTCAGTACACACCACCTGACGGTCAGTGTGGACAGTCAGTACAGGCCACCTGACGGTCAGTGTGGACAGGACAGTCAGTACAGGCCACCTGACGGTCAGTGTGGACAGTCAGTACACACCACCTGACGGTCAGTGTGGACAGTCAGTACACACCACCTGACGGTCAGTGCGGACAGTCAGTACACACCACCTGACGGTCAGTGTGGACAGTCAGTACACACCACCTGACGGTCAGTGTGGACAGTCAGTACACACCACCTGACGGTCAGTGTGGACAGTCAGTACACACTACACACCACCTGACGGTCAGTGTGGACAGTCAGTACACACCACCTGACGGTCAGTGGGGACAGTCACACACCACCTGACGGTCAGTGGGGACAGTCACACACCACCTGACGGTCAGTGGGGACAGTCACACACCACCTGACGGTCAGTGTGGACAGTCAGTACACACCACCTGACGGTCAGTGCGGACAGTCAGTACACACTACACACCACCTGACGGTCAGTGTGGACAGTCAGTACAGGCCACCTGACGGTCAGTGCGGACAGTCAGTACACACCACCTGACGGTCAGTGTGGACAGTCAGTACACACCACCTGACGGTCAGTGTGGACAGGACAGTCAGTACAGGCCACCTGACGGTCAGTGGGGACAGTCAGTACAGACCACCTGACGGTCAGTGTGGACAGTCAGTACACACCACCTGACGGTCAGTGTGGACAGGACAGTCAGTACAGGCCACCTGACGGTCAGTGTGGACAGTCAGTACACACCACCTGACGGTCAGTGTGGACAGTCAGTACAGGCCACCTGACGGTCAGTGCGGACAGTCAGTACACACCACCTGACGGTCAGTGTGGACAGGTGACTCTCTCTCTCTCTCTCTCTCTCTCTCTCCCTCTCTCTCTCCTCTCTCTCTCTCTCTCTCTCTCTCTCTCTCTCTCTCTCTCTCTCCCTCTCTCTCTCTCTCTCTCTCTCTCTCTCTCTCTCTCTCTCTCTCTCTCTCGCCTCCCTCTCTCTCTCTCTCTCTCTCTCTCTCTCTCTCTCCTCTCTCTCTCTCTCTCTCTCTCTCTCCCTCACGTATTTCCGTACCTTGCTGCCGAAGTACAGCGCTACCCACAGTTTGCCGGACGTATCGATGGTCATTCCGTCGGGGAACCCCTGGGCTCCTCTCTTCTTCACGTCGTAGATGGTCCGGCGGTTATCTGCAAAGCAACAAACGAGATGGTACCGCTCAAATGGCTCAGTTTTGATATAAACACCAAACAATCGCAAACCAAGTAATCGCTTTCCTGTTAAAGTTCCTCTTGCAAAAACCATACACATAACAAAATGTCAATAAAAGATACCTAATGCACATAAACTGGGGAAAAGAAGCTAACCGGCGTATGACTGGGGAAGGGATATAGCCACCTCCCCTAGGCAGATACCTGACTCACCGACTCTGTGTCTGTACTGTGACTTTACTCACCGACTCTGGGTTTGTGCCGTGACGCGACTAACCGACTCTGGGTCTGTGCCGTGAGCGTGACGCGACTCACCGACTCTGGGTCTGTGCCGTGAGCGTGACGCGACTCACCGACTCTGGGTCTGTGCCGTGAGCGTGACGCGACTCACCGACTCTGGGTCTGTGCTGTGAGCTCTTGACTCACCGACTCTGGGTCTGTGCTGTGAGCTCTTGACTCACCGACTCTGAATCTGTACTTTGACCCGACTCACCGACTCTGTGTCTACATACTGTGACCCTAATCATCGACTCTCGGACTTTGACCCACCAACTCTGGGTTTCTACTGTGACGTGACTTATCGACTCTGGGTTTCTATTGTGACGTGACTCACCGACTCTGGGCCCCCGACTCACCGACTCGTGGCGCGCTCAGGTCGCAGTCCAGCACGTCCACTGTGTAGGCGAAGGTGTCGATGTAGAAGAGCCGGTCGCCGGCGGCGATGAACGCCAGCCCGTTGGAGCAGGTGACGTTGTTGACGAGGGCGGTGGGCGCGCCGCGCGCCGAGATGTGGTACAGCGCGCCCTGACCGGGCGGCATCGAGCCCGGCTCGCCCGACTGGAACCCCATCGTGCCTGGTGGGCGGGGAGGGCGTCAGAGGGGCGGCCAGGGCGGGCTCAGGACCGCCGCTCGGCGCAGGTTACCTTCGAGCGGCGGGTCAGACGTATTGAAGGGGCTCGTTGTCGCCGTTTGGAGGAGCAAGTATGCGTTAGAGACCTATATTATGATTGGTACATACAATAATTTGCTACAGTATAACCAATATTTTTCTAGTGCTACCATTTTTATATCCGGTTTGACATGAAACACGACTTCTTGCCTTGGCGAGCCCGCTATGCAAAAGAGTTTTCCACGAGCTGACCCACCCACCGGCCCAGAGGTTGCCGCTGGGGTCGCATTTGCCGTCGTTGAAGCGGTTCTTGGGTCTGTCGGCCTCCACCTCTGTGAAGTCGGTGACGGAGAAGTGCTGGTCGCCGGCCCAGCGGAGCACCGAGAGCGCGCGTCCCGTGCTGATGACGTAGGTGTCGGGCCGGCCCGCCAGCGGCACCACCAGCGACGTCTGGCACGCGTGCGGGTTGGACGGGTCGTCCTTGAGGTCTGCCGATACGTGACGGCGCACCGGTATGTCACGCCCATAAAAACATGTCACACCCTCATATCGGCCCCGGTCGGGCCACACCCCCGCCGGGCCCACACCCAGACGGCGCCCCGGCCTGGTCATCGACCTCACCGGGCCCCTCGCCAGGCCTCCGTTGGGCCCACACCAGTATCGGTATGTCAATAGTCGCGACAGATAGCAAGCTGCTCTGGCTTGCATTGGCGATAAGATGGATCACTTACATTACATTGATATTCTCTAAAGTGTGTGACCTGATATCACTTTCAAATAAAAAATTGCATAGGCTGGCAACGACAGTTTAGGAGAAAGGTACTCACATGAGGGATCGAGCATTCGGTACTGACTGTACCTCTAAGATATATATCATATATATCTGCGCTCGATGTGACAGATGTTTCCAATTAATTTTCGGACATTTAGGTATAGTAGTAATAGTAGTAGTTTATTGACACAGTCTCAGGCACTAGATGGATAAAACCCAGAAGACAAGTGTCCATTAATTAACCCTCGCATGTGTGCGGCGTTTGCCAGCTTCTAATGTGTAGGGGGGGGGGGGGGTCGGTTGGACCCCCCCTTGCCGTTTGGCCCCTGATCGAGCTAGAGCTTCGCGGAAAAAACGAGCGTGTTGCCCGTGACGAGAGGAAGCCGATGATACCCAATTTTAAGGTCCTAGGTCATTGGTTGACCTTCCAGGTCAGGTCAATGACCCAAAGTCGGGAAAATCGGGACCTGTTAGAAAGTCGTAAAGTGTGGCTGCTAAGGGGTTTTTCGGGGTGCTGATCACGAATATCGTGTTAGTTTTGATCACAGATGATGTCTTGAAGCATTTGGACCAGGTCGGGTCAGGTCAGGTCAGGTCAACCAGTAGGCGTCGTGACGGGTATTCGTAGTACGTGTCAACCGCCTCTGACAGCTTCGTAACATGTTACGAAGTCACCAAAACTACTTCGTAAATGTTCAAATGGTTGCTAAATTCGAATTCAGCTCCAAAAACTAGCCTAGAAACATGTAAAACTCAAAAAAGTGACCCGAGGTCACCCGAGGTCACCAAAGGTCAATGACCTGACCTGACCTTCAGGTGACCTTGACACACACGGGAGTAACATCAAATCACATGTTTGAACGTTTGAAACCACGAAAAGCTTGCAAACACGCGGCTAGTGCGAGCCGACATACGCGAAATCGCGATTCCGGCCAAACATGGTCTCGGAAAAGAGGTCACAGGTCAAAGGTCATTTGGGTCAGGGTCATGAAATTTTCAGGGTAGGTGTCAAATTGATCAATGCGAGAGTACTGAAAGTTTCGTCGCGATCAGCCGCTTTTTACGCGAGTTATTCGCGAAAAAACATGGGGGGTCCATCCGACCCCCCCCCCCTACACATGCGAGGGTTAAAACAGTTAATGTACAAACATATTAAAACCGCCAAACATTTCATACAGAGAACCAGCTTCCTGGTCCATTAAAACTATACATACCTAAACTCCACGTTAAAATCCGTCGCGTCATACGTTCTCACTTGCCAGCAAAACTCTCTGAGAGTTTTGCATATATACATAGAGCCCAAGGAAATTTGAATATCCCGATCGCTGCGTCCGCCTCTGCTAAGATAACAAATAGGTAACGACTGCTGTCCCGATTAAAGGATCAGTCAGTCATCGCCTAACCTGTCACATTTTTTTATGTGGATGAAAAAATAAACGTTAAACTCATTTTACCTATACAGCAGAAACCGTCTGTACATTCGTCAAAAAAGGAATAGGTATAACTATCTATAGGTAAGTACACTATTTTTAAGGGGAATAGTTCACTTTCTGTAATTAGTTTTTTGCAATGGATTTATGATTTTTCATGCACAGAAAATAAAAGAAACCTTTTTGTAATAAAATTTATTTTCTTTATTCTAGTAACTATAGGAAGAACTGTTTAAAAATGTATATATTTGACGAGGAACCTTAGTTACGTGTTGACCAATTAGATATATTGCGTAGTACAAACCCATCAGCTGAAAGCAGCATGCTGACTGGCTGACGATAACGTGGCTGCATTCCTCAGCAAGACACGCATTCCTCTGCAAGGCACTCTTTACGGAACGAGAAATTGAATACCTTCGTCTAGGGTAATGATTGGGCCGTAAAAGCTACTGATTTTTGCTAGTCTCAGCTCAAGCTACGAAATTACTATGCCAGTTCAAAACCCCATGCTAAAAGTGAACTATGTATTTCTGAACTACGTCCCCACTTCTTCGCCGCGCTATAGCTACAGAACGGCGCGACGCAGGCGCGCAGAATTTTGGTCACTTATATGGAATTGATTGAAATTTGTTGGAAAATTTTCAAAAAAAGTCGAATTTTTGTATATTGAGCGAGGTTAAGTGACGTCATGATTCCTGAGCTTTCGAGCAAAAACGGCATATGAACAAGAAAAAAATCCTATAAAATCACAAAATAGTCATAGACACACACCTGTACAATCATTTGGCTATCCTCTATTTTTAATTGCTGTTTTATATCTATTTTCAAACGCTTGAACTGAATTTTCGCAATTTCTCGCATGTTTGCAATCATGGTGCACAATTGATATTTTCGTAAAATTGATATTTTCGACGGAAAACGTGCTCTTATGACAAAATGGGTGTCACCATCGAGTTTTACACCTAAAAGTATGTATTAGCCATACATTTATAGCCATACGTATCAGTATGCCATATGCCGCCAATGCCAACTTTGATTTTCGAGGATACGTTTTTACCTGATTGACCGGACCTCGACCTTGACATATGCTTAATGACCCCTGCGTGAGTCTAGCACCTGTAGTACCTACTTAGATGAAATATTGTGCACAATCCTTTCAGAGTTTACGAGAGACGCGCAGTGCGAGGTTCCTAAGTCCATGCTACTGAAAGCCCAACTCCAGTTGTTTGACCTTACCTTGACCCGACCTGCGACCTCAAATTTCAACTTTAAAACATTCATCAGAAGCGTCTGGTTACGTTCTTTCGTGTATCGCCTCGCCTGTTTCGCTGCTGTTGGTTCTCGAGTTCTCGGCTGGGGGCGTTTAACGTTCCCCTGCAGCAGGTGGTGTGTGGCGAAATACCGCGGCAACGGCCGGGTTAATCAGGTGTGTGTTGCGCGGTGCGAGCTCACCGACATGTATTTTGGTGTCTGTGCGGGTCCGCTCGTCCCACTTGTAGACGTTCTGGCCGGGGATGTCGACGCTGAGCAGGGTCTGGGTGGCGTCGTCCCAGTGCGGGCCCTCGCCGCACATCCGGGCGCTGCTGATCCTCTCCACTCGGACCATCTTCTGCGGGTAGTGGGTAGTGGGTACAGAGTCGCGGTTCGCGGCCTGTAAAACACGGCCGGCCCACAACCACTTGGCACAGAGCGGCTCAACGGACGGTGATGTGCAGCAGCCCCAGACGTGCGCTGTTTCTTATACGAAACATTAGCAGCTTACGGTTCGCCCCCATTAACGGCAATAGGAGGAGCCAGCGACAAGACCACACTCGAGTTGTACCGAGGTGTCGCGGAGTAAAACTCGGCCGCTTTCGGTGAGATAACGAATTTTTTTTATACAGATAATTATGTATATAGATTATTCGTCGAGATAACTGAGATAATATACATTATACCGAGCCGGGTGCGGGGGCTATCCCGGCCACTGGACCCGGGGGAGGGATTTGGCCCTGTTTAACTCCGTAAATAAAGAAGCTACGGAATCAAAATTGTATGCACCAAACGAAAGATCACTACGATGCAGTTATAAAACAACAAAATTTTGACGAGAGGTCAATTCAAAACAGGGGTAAGGTGAAAGGTCAAAAACATCACATGTATGTTGAATAATATCAGGCTACCAATAGCCGTTTTCAAGACGGGCTATCCGGCGAATGCACCTAATTTGATCAAATCTGCACCTTATCTCTTTTGCAGCAAATATCTTCTTTTTATGAATTTATGTCGGTGTTTTAATCGATAATACACTCTGATAACATGATAAAGCAGACACATAAGTAATTAGTGCAACCCTAGCTGATAGCTACTAAGAGACACGCTGAACCTAATTTAACCAAATCTGCACCAAATGTGCACCAAATGTGTACCAGATGGCCGCGGTGAAAACGGCTAATGTGTTCCTGACCTTTAACCTAACCTTAAAAATGGCCGACGTGTTTTCTTCCTTATTTTTGACGCTCTTTCGATTGTCCTTTACCGCGTGTCGCTACGTGGCCTAGGAGCCGAGTTAGACGGAGACCGGGGGGGGGGGGTGAGACCCCCCCCCCCAGCACTCGGTGGAAAGTTCAGGCCACCGGCACGGCGCGGGTCAACAAGTCTTGGCCGTATTTTTGCCATTGCTTTCGCACATTGAACGGGGCGCGTTCCGCCGCAGCCCTTCTAACGAGTAATGCTTACCCAATAGGATACCTACCCATGGCGCTTTTCTGGTGTATGATTAGTTCAAATAAAACAAAGTGATTTCATTAAGGACTCACCAGCTCACCTTATATGAGGACTGCCTACTGTGCTTGTGCTGACTACCGGTCGATCGTGCTCGTCAGAACTCAGAGCGGTATAGCGAGGCGCCTGCGAGCTGCTCTGCGCCGCGTACCCAGTCACCCGTCCTGCCCTGAGCTGCGCACTGCGGAGGTTCGCCTGCACCTCAGACCCGAGCAACGCCCACCGGCGCAGTTTTTATCATGTGCGAGACCACTTCAGTCGCCTCCTTTATGCCGATAAACGTCCACCGATGGTGCCACCGGCCCATAAATGCTCGCACAGATACCCGTGTTGCCAGGGGAATAGACATCCTGCATTAGAGTGTCGCAACGATTCATGGCTGAGGAGACTGCACGGTATCAGTAGACTGGGGGTGGCAGACCGGTGCAACCCATCGGCCGGGCTCGAGATCGGAGAGGCAGGTCAGGGCTCGAGATCGCCGATAGTGGCAGGAGCCATTAAACGTTCCCGACCTAACGGAAAAGGATTGGCGCCCCCGCGAACAGCCTTTTGGCGATTATTCAAAACACGTTGAATATAGAGAGCTAAAAGTTGACGTACCTGACCCCTGATTCAAGCTAGATCTTGCGACGCCAAGTCCATTTTCAAGTCATGTCAGGTCACTGACTTATGTAGGGTGATAAGTGAGTCTACATGGCCTTTAAATATCGCAAATCTGCAGCGCCCTCAGTTCCAGAGAATCTCTCGCAGGCAGATGAAACGTTCTCGACTTAAAGGGACTGTCCCACCTTTGCATTAGTTCTGAGTTGAGATAGCCAAGTTGGCGGCCAGGTTCAGAAACCACTATATATCCTGGTCGCAATATCCTCAGTTTCGTGGTGTTAAAGAAATTCGTTCCCTTCATTTGAAAAGTGGGCCTTAGCTAAGGCTCTATCTCTTAACTATTAACGGCCATTTGATGACGTCATTTGCATTTTGAACGCCTGTCACGCATGTGAAGTTTCACTTGATTTACGAATAAGCTAATCAGAGACACTTGTTAGGTATTATTAGGTTTACTTGATCTGTCTAAAGCTTTTGACGTGATTTCCCACTCTAAATTGCTTGACAAGCTCGAGCTGCACGGCATTGACACTGCCTGGTTTCGAAATTATCTTGACGGTCACACGCAAAGCGTAGCCATTTCTGCCTCACAGAGCTCCCCTCCGCTCAACATTAGCCAGGGCGTCTTCCAGGGGTCATCGTTGGGTCCTCTCTTGTTCAGCATCGTCGTTAACGATCTTAGCTTGTACGCTGGCGACTCTTTTATCATTCAGTACGCCGATGACACCCAGGTTTTAGTCTCTGGACACAAGTCCGAGCTACCTGACCTTATCTTAAAACTCGAGGCATCTCTCCAGTCGCTTGGTGATTACTTTCATTCGAACGGTCTAAAACTTAACGAGTCAAAATTCGAGCTACTTCCCATCGGCTCACCTCAAAATCTGCGAGACCTCCCACCGTTCACGGTCAAGTTTCGGCAAGCCGTGCTATCACCTTGCACTGAAGTAAAAAATCTCGGTGTCACTTTTGATCGCCATCTCACTTGGGACTCGCACGTATCGCAATTCGCAACTGTCACAGAAGCGCTTCGGCATCCTTATCGGTCTCTCCCACATCCGCCACTACCTACCATCCGGCACTCTCCCAATCCTTGTGTCTGCCCTCGTCCTTTCCCACGTCCGCTACTGCCTCTCCGTCTATGGCAACGGGTCTGCCAAGAACCTCGCCACCATCAACAAAATTCTAAATTTTGCGGCCCGCATCATCTCCGGCAAAAAGAAATTCGACCACATCTCCTCTGTCCGTGCCTCCCTCGGCTGGCCGGACCCCTCCACTATGGTTCAAGCCCAAACCCTAAACATCCTACACAAAGCTAGACGAACAGGTCAGCCCGAGTCACTAGCTGCACTATTTGCCACTAATGCCGAGCGTCCAGACCGTAGCCGCAGCACCAGGCAGGACCACCTGCTTAGTCTTCCCCGCATACACGGCTCGGCTGCGGGGAAGCGGCAATTCGTGTACCGCGCTGCCGCAGGCTATAACGCCCTACCACGCGAGTTCTGGGACATGTCCACCTCGATGTTTACCAGCAAGGTCTTAGAACTCTTATCTTCGGTGACATGAGCTGACACGTCGCTGTTTTTTTTTTTTTTTGAATTTTGCATCCCGGTTGCACTAAGGCATACCGGGGAGGGGAAACACGTCGCTGTAACCGCTTTTAGCTTCTGCATCGTGTGTGTAGTGTGGTTTATGTGTGTTCACTTTTTATCCTCATCATTGCATTTCTTAGCGTGTGTTGACTCTGACTCGAGAATAGCCCTGTGATTCCGATCTCATGAAGGGGTGAGTCTATGACGTAAATACAATACAATACAATATTATGAGCCGCGTCATATTTGAGAGCAAGTACCTATATTTGCTGCCAAATTTCCCCCACATTGACATGAAGTAAATCCTTCATTACGTCACAGATCCGATCTAAATGACGTCACGATGAAATATAAAAGTCGCAATATCTCAAAAAGTATAGGGGAAAGTGGGTGTATTGCGCCCTCCTAACCAATTGCGCCCACCCACATTCCCACGAATTCAATGGCATGTTCAGCATTTTGTTTTCGAAAACATTATTTTCACCACTGGATAGGGGAGAGCGGGGAGAGTTGTATCATGTCCAAGTTGTATCAGGGCGAATTGTGCCAAACTTATCCAATTGATGGCGCTCGTGACACGACCAGCCGACGAGGTTTTCCGGGCGCCATCTTTCCCTGTTCTGACGTGTGGCTGGGTGGACGCGTCTCGAGGTGAGAGACGATTTTATGTTTTTTTTATGTCATTCTAAAAAAATAAGTTGCAAGAAAATGTGTGTTTTGGACATTTAGATGTGCACGAATTTGAAAGATCTCCGTAGCGGTGGTGAGGGTAGGTTCTAAGGCTGCGTGAGTGAAAATGGATTTCTCCAGCTGTCCGCTGTTTTTTTTTAGCACGAGGATGTTTTTCCAAGATGGCGGCGAGGTACATGTTGTATCAGAGCCGGGTGGGGTATGTTGTAACTTGTAACATGTATGTATGTATGGGTATGTTGCTTTTGATCGCGAAAGCTAAGCCCTGGCTCGCGTTTGTAGGTAGCTAGTCAATACTCGTTCCATTTTGGCACAATGTGTTGGCTTCTTTGCTCTTAACGGGCCACTTTTACGTCTAGTCTGTTGATGTTTCGTTCGTTTCGATGTTTCGTTCGGATTGCATTGACCTAAGTTTGGTCTAATAAAAGTGAAGCCTTTGAGCATATGCATTGTATCAGCCCCATTTAATGTTGTTGTTATGCTCAAAACCAGTAGCAAGCACACTCCCTGAAACGTGAAATACCTAGTGATACAAATTACCCCACCATGTGATACAACTCACCCAAGCCATGGGGCAAGTTGTATCAAAAACATTGTTCTATTCGGCAGACCGTAGAAGAAAAACTGGTAGAGGTAGCGGAAAAGTTACTTTGCACAAAAAAGCAGAAGAATCAAGGAAGGAGATAGTATGGAAATAATGAGTTTATCACGGATAGTTACGAGGTTATGGGTCTCGGAGTAAAAACTGATACAACCCACCCCACTCTCCCCTAGCTCCTTTTATGGCCCAAGCTCTCCGATGAAGCCAATCAGCAAGGCTCATTACGCCATCGAAGATATTACGGCGTTTTCTTAACTTTTTGGCAGCATTTTGAACCGTTGGCTATAAAAATAGGCGATACTTGTGTGATTTTGAGAGTGATATTTGGCAAGAAAAATCCTTTTTTCATTATATTTCACTGAAACAGTAAACATCCTTTAGCATCTTTATGGTAACTTCTACGCTTTTATTAAAAAGTACCTCAATTTTAATTGCGCCCATGGCAATTGCGCCAGGGGGGCGCAAATAGAATAATGGTGTAGCTATTGTATCACGACAGTATGAATGCATCATTAACTGATTGCAATAAAGAAGGAGTTTTATGTCAGGCAGGGGAGCAACCCGCCATCGTCAGTCCAAAAAATATTTCTCTCATCGAACTTATAATGTAGCTGCCATTTGGGCTATGAACTTGCGGTGTAATTGACAAAATACGGCATTTCTAACATGGAAACAGGCGTGAGAGGTGACAGCTATGATACAAAGTAAAAACTGATGTAAAAAAAGTTGTAGAAGCAATACAAAATATTAATTTTGAGAGAAACGATTGAAAATATAACCGTCTAGGCGCATGCGTTCATATATATCTAGTCGGTTACATCAAACGTTTTCGTTCCACTTCACAAGCATACCGGACACAAGTAAAGTTATTTACCTGCGCAAAAAAAATCGCAATTTATATCTACATTTATTATGTATCGAGCTTGATTCACATAATACATGTTCAAGTAAGCCACAATGACATAGAATGCCGGAGTGTATGCTTTCCGTCTCCTTTGCTTAGCCATGCTAAAGGATAGGGCGCAATTGGATTCTAATTGCGCCATCCCCCTGGCGCAATTTACAGCAGTTGTTGGTAAATGCGCCCTTTTGCATGTTTCTGAAAAAGCAGCTGTCAGAAGCAAACGAAACATTCCTAATTGATCGGGAGGCCCTTAAATCGTAGCCAATGAGTTCCTCTTTAAAATGGTTACCAGTGCATGCTTACATCTCAAGTGGTTTTCTTACAATTAGCGTTTTTCCTTAAGGTGGCGCAATTCACCCTCCTTCCCCTACAATGAAAACGCGTAAAAACTTGCAGAATTCGTCACAATATCATGAGTAACATTTCCGAAACCTAAATGGTACTTTTTTGAAGGTGGGATAGTCCCTTTAACATCCTTCCTCATACTCACATTCTGCATATTTCGGATTTTTCGTAAAGTTCGCCTGAGGTTAGGGGAGGACCGTACAAGAGTACGCACCTAATGCATTTTGTCGTCTCACGTCGTTCGGTTTTGGTTTACGGCTACGATCAGTATATTCCCATAAAGCCTGATCATTTGTCCACAAACTCTCATGACCACAGCGGCCTACGTCCAATTTAAAGCATGACCGTAAGCAATTTTCTAACACCCTGCATTTGCGTACTCTTGCCCGATAGGCAGTACAAGAGTACACACTTCGTGCGGGTGGAGTACGCACTACGTGTATGCATTCCTACTCGCTGGAATGCATTCATGCAAGTAATTAAACTATTGTTATCTTTATTGCCGCAGCCACTAAAGCGGTCACTCTTAACTAGAGCAC